TTAACCAATGCTTATAAATTATTAACCCCTTAATTACATCATTTTTACAAATTAGTCAGTCTATGAACTTCCAAGTTCATAATTTGATCATCAATGCTGAACCGTGAACAGACAAAAAACTGGCGAAGAACATAGTAACGAAGAGATTCTTAAAAAAGAAAAGGTTAATAGATCTTATAAAGTTCTTGGACTTCGAGAAGAGGCTGCTCTAACTCAAAAGAATTGTTCCTTCGAATCTTGATAGCGAAAACATAATTTTTTTTTTGTATTTTAGTGGTATGTAAATATTATAATCGTAAAATTTTTTGTAGTGAACTCGTACGTACGTATTGGTACGTAACTAGATTTATTTGTGATTACCTAATAATTGTATATGCATGAATAGCGTAGTGGCAATACAAGTAGCGTTTTGATGTTTGTTAACCTATTTGTAACTCACATGGGGAAGAATTTCACATGACCTTCCTCCATGTCGGAATATCTCAGAAGTCATGCCCTTCATAAAAATCGCTGACATTGAAAACGAAGTCGATTTAATATCATATTTTTCTACAATGCACTCGATGGAGGCGAGTCTGCGGGACATGAAAACAAGTGAGTAACGAATATGGAGAGAAGTATGGTGATGATCAATTGAACTACGTTCTCGAAACTATGCCTAATGCCATCCAACTCCCCGTTGATCAGACACGCTTGCCATGTAGTAAGCCAGCAAAGACAGTTATTGCTCAACGCACTAATAATGATTACAAGGTTTGAATATGTATAAGAAGCGTTTATCTTTTGTTATATGATTTGTTCTTAGAATTTTCATAGATCTCTTGCAATATAGGCGACACCACTAAACATAAAATGTATTAGATGTCACCTATATATACTGCAAAAGATCCATCTTCATAATTTTTCTAATTAATTTAGTTTTTTAAATAAAGGTCAAAATTCGTGTCAGAAGACCTAATGAAAATAATTTAAGGGAATTGCTACCGGCGCAAAACTTTCATTTTTGATACACCTGCACCTACTTTTTTGATACTCCTAGATGTATCCCAAAATTTTTATACTTTTTTTGATACTCAAAAAAAATTCACCCACGTGATGATCGACACAGCAAATAACTGTTTGATGTAACGTAACAGCAAGATGGAAATTTGTTTTTATTGGCTGATCATCAATGATCCTGATTGGCTAAAATTAAATGATTTTTGATACTA